GAGGATGAGATGGTTGGATGGCATCACTGACTCAATGGACATGAGTTTGAGCAAGCTCCAGGAAATAGTGAAGGACAGGAAAGCCTGGCATGCTGCAGTCCATGGGTTTGCAAAGAGTCGGACATGACTGAGGGACTGAACAGCAACATCAGCAATGCAAGATCCTCTGACTGAGCCATCAGGGCCTGGGCCATCCTGTGTCTCACTTGCCATCACCATTCACAAAAAGCCACTCAGAGCCATGATGCATAGGCTCCATATATTATAATAGGTTAGTACAAAACTTTTGTCAGATATTTTTATTATTTTTAAGATTTTTTGGATGTACACCATTTTTAAAGTCACTATTGAATTTATTACAGTATTGTTTCTGTTTCACATTTTGGTTTATTGACCAAGTGGCATGTGAGATCTTAGCGCCTCAACCAAGGATTGAACCCACACCCCCTCATTGGAAGAAGTCTCAGCCACTGGACCACCAGGGAAGTCTCTGTTATCTTCAAAAACCATCAGTCTATGATAGAAACAACTCAGAATGGTGGTTGCCTCTGAGAGAGGAATGGAGATTGCCTGAGAAGGAGAGTGTGGAACCTTCTAGAGTGTTGGTAATGTTCTACATCTGTTGCAGGGTATACAGTTATCAAAACTCAGAGGACATGGACTATTGTGTACTTCATAGTTCACATGTGCATTTTGCCTCAATAGGAAAAAAAAACCTGTAAGCACAAAACTCTGATGATACACATGTTGAAGTATTTGGCAGGAATAATGGCAGCTGCAATTTACTTTGAAATGTATTTTAAAATTAGGCACATTAATGGATGGATAGAAGAATGGATAGATGGATAGTAATAAAATAAGTACAGTAAAATGTAAATGGTAGAATCTAGGTGGTGAGTATATTGTTGTTTAACCACATAATTATTTCTATTTTGCTACATGTTTGGAAATGTTCAATATAGAATGTTGGGGGTGTGGAGAAGAATCAATACTCAGGACCCAGGACCTCAAAATGGACTGACAGTTAAAATACTGATTATTTTTAACATGGAAGCCATAATTCTCATTGGGTTGGATGAAGAAAACATAATTAAAACAATGAATAATCAGTTAGCTTTCTTCTGTCTCGGCCACTGGCTGGTCTAGTGAACTGTAAGCACTTGGGCAAATCCAGGTCAAAGATGAAGGTCCAAAGTCCAAGTGCAGGCTCAAGGTCCACGTCCAGGTCCAAGACTCAGTCACCACGTTCTTCCTCTCCACTCTCACCCCAGTCCTCATCCTCAGACTCAAGGCCAGTTTCACGTCCAGGCCCAGTCCTGCTCTTCCCCTCAGTCTGAGCCTCAGTCCGACGCTCGCTCCTGCTCCACACCTCAGCCTCACGCTCACTCTCTCCTGGCCTCATCGGCTCCTGTGTATTCACCCCGATCCCCTCAGCCTCACTCTCAGTGTCACAACTCCCATCACCCTCACTTCAACCTTCTCCTGACCCTGACTGTCATTTCCACCATCATGGCAAAAAAAAGTAGACACATCTAGATCCAAGATCCATGTCCAACATCTCTGTTAAGATCCGAGGTGCAGACGCATTGTCCACGACCAAGGTCAGGTCTCGGTCCATACCTGAGGTCCGGATCCATGATACAATTCCAAGGCATAGTTTAGGGCTGAGATTGCAGGATGTTTCTAGTTTTAAATTAAAAGGAGAGAGGTTCCCCACTCTCCCTCATGTAATAACTGTGGGCTACAAGGGTGTTCTTAGATTCTGGTATTTCGGTTATTTTCTTTTTTTTTTTTTATTAAAATAATGCTGCAGTAAGCATTTGTGTATGTCTCTGGGTATACACATATGGAAGCTTTCCTGTAATACGGAGCTAGAAGTAGGGTTGCCACATCACAGGTATGAGTTGTCAACTTTACTAGGCAAAATCACTTCCTGAACTTCAGAGGAGCATTTTTCTCCTCTGTTTTATTCCTCATGGTTTTCACTTTGCATTTCCTTCCTTGGGGTATTTTCTGGGCCCCCAGACCCAGAAAAGGAGGCTGCCTTGGCTTCCATTTAACAGAACTCTGGCAGAAGGATTCTAGAGAGACCAGAGTTTGCTTAGCAAAGTTACAATAGGTCTCTGGCCCTGCCTAACTTAGGGCGTTGGTAGCAGCAGATATTTGAGGGCTAGTGCTTCAGGGGGATGGAGCAGCCTTCTCTCGTATTGAACCAGTTGAGTTACCAATAATTTCAGATGGTCTTTATACTGGTTACTGCCAAGGAATCCTGTGCCCAGCTCAGAGTGGTTCCTTGAGGCCTAGAAGCTTTGGGACTTTCCAAGTTTGCGGTATCGGAACCTTTACCAGGCTGGGTTCCTCAGACCCAAAGCTCCAGCCTGCTCATCCAAGGTCTGGTCCGCTCCCGCCTCCCCAGGGTTCTGCCAGGGAGCCTGGAATCAGTCTGTACGTTGAGGGGTGCTCACCAGCGTTTTCTTCCTTTCTTGTCTCGGAGACTGTTCTTCCTGAGACCGACAGATACACACACACAAACACATACACACAAACACACCTCCATGAGTTTAGATTCCCATAGAAGGCACGAAGAGAAGCTGTCTCCTGGCGTGGACCCGCATGCTGGACCCGGTGCAGAGAGAGGGACTGCCTTCGGGGCAGCACACGGGCTCGGCTGGGAGCCCACAAGCCCTTTCTCAGGTTCCAAGACAGTGAATGGAAGTCCTGAAAACAACCCGAGACTCAACTTCCCAGCAACCTAGGCAGCCAAGGGCTAACTAGATGAAACTGTATTCATTTATTCCTCTGGGACAATAATGTGACATTTTCTGCACCCAAGAGGTTGAAGGGCCATCCTCATTACACTGTGCAATTTTAAAGTTTATTCCCAGCAGCTCTGCCAGGTGGGCAACGTAGTTCCCATTTCTCGGGTGAGGAAAGCCAGATATAGTGAGGTCAAATAACCTGCCTGAGGGACAGAGTCGTGACTTGAACAAGAGCAGTCCCAAGCCCGCTCACACCGAAGCCCATATTCTAACTTATTACCCAAACTTCTTGGGCATAAGCATTGGACAAATCTGGGGAAATGCTTACCTGGCTTCCTGAACATCCATGCCTTCCCAGACTGCCCAACCACCTCCCCCATGGCGACCCGGGACAAATGATGCCAATAGGCTTAGCGTCCCGCCTGGGATGTTCATTTTATATAACTGAACGCTTTGAGTTACTCACTCTGACAAATGTCGCAGCTTTGCTTGCCTTTCCTCACCTGCTTTTTGTACACAGCCCCTCACATGGTGCCTGTCTGAAACCTGCTCACCAGTGCCCCTTCCTTTGGGGAAGCCAGGCTCATTGCCCTAGAATGCCCTATATGTTTATACCCCAGGGTATGTGACCTCGTGAGTGTTCCCTTACGACGAAACATGAAGCAGGAGTCATTCAGTGTTTTTTAAATCCAGGTCTCTATTTTTCCTGTGTAAATATGAACGTAGGCAAAATTAATAGTTAAGGCTTTTAAAATACGTGCATTTTGGTAACACGTTGCTAGTTACATTGTGCTGATGATAAGAGCTTGGATCACATATTTCTTTAATAGTTCTTTGAAATTTCTTTTAAAAAGTTAAAATGGTCAGATGATCCATAGTAGAAACCAGAACAGACCCATATAAATCCAAAATGCATACTTGAAAAGGCAGCAGCTTCTGTATGAACTACCTTATGTAGCATGTGGATTACAACTTAGACCGCAGACACTCCAAGGTTTCCAAAGGACACGGGGCATCTTGTCTGAGAAGAAAAGAGGACAGGGAGAAAGAGGAAGAGGAGGAAGGGAAGAGAAGGAAGGAAGGAAGAAGCGGAGACGAGTTCAGAGAGGAGCAGGAAAACCTGCACATATGGCTTCTCTGCATCTGGAGACTGACTTGTCTTCGGGTAATTTACAATGTGTATGAAGCAGAGGATGGACCATTAAGGTAATCATTCACAGTCATAGAACCCAAATCTATAGATACCTTCTAAAATCTTAATGCAATATTATATACCGGATTAAACAAAAAGAGCCAGGTCGACACTCTGCACATTTTTGTCTAAGAGCTTTGCCTCAGGATATAATTCCAAGGGAGAGTGAGGCTTCCTGTTCCAGGGTACAGGGACAGTTTGCAAAGACATGGCCTAAGGGTCTTGCCTCTTGAAAGTCCTAGTGGTCAGCTTGTTTGCCTTAGGACCCCATTCCGACCTTCAACCTGGGAAACTTTCCCCTCAACACGACTCTCCCCTCCAGGCCAGAACAGGCTGTCCCAGGGCCCTAACTCAGGGACTGGGACAGAGGCTGTCTTTGAAGCCTGTTGGGGAGTTAGGAGATGTCCCTTTCCCTAATGGAGATGCTCTTTGCTGTGAAACAGATTCTGGTTTCACAGGAGTTGACGGCAGGACACCTGGATTTGCTTCTCAGACTTGAAATGGCCTCAGCTGGGATGACCTGGCTTCATTCTTTGTGCCTGTCACGGCATCAAAGAGCACACGAGGAGATACCTAAGTCAGAAATATGCCCAAGCTGTCTCGTGTATCCAATGTGAGTTACCACATGTACTCTCAGCTTCTGTTACCTCTCCCTCATCCAGAAGTGGTGGAGTGAGGGGCAGGAGGGGCGGGTAAGGAAATAATATCCCATTTACAAAAAAATGAAGTTCAGGAGTCTAAATATTCTCCATGGATTAAAAAAAAAAATTTCTGTGCTCACATTTTTACAACTTGACCTGGAGACATCTCACACTTCACAAAATCCTGCCTCACAAAGCGTTTCTTGTGGAGCTCACAGCAATCTGTCACTTAACTGGGACAGACAAAAAGAGTCCCATTATCTAGATGAGGAAAATCAAGGCTCTCTCCCAAGGCCACACAGCTCACAGAGGGTAGGGAAAGCTGGAATTCAATCCTGGCCGGGCCCCGCGCCGTGCAGCCTTGCGCCGACCGTGAGCCAGGGAGGCAGGAGATGGACATCTGTGTCTTCACTGCTGACTGGCCTCTGTTTGCAGAGCATCCCCCTCGGGCGGGAGGCCCGTCTTCACCTGGCTTTCCAACTGGCTGAGCCGCTGCTTCACCTTCATCTGGGTGGCGTTGTATTCCGCCAGGAGCCGCGCGAACCTGGTCTGCAGGGCGTCCAGGGAGGCCTCGAGGTGCACCACCTTCTCCTCAATGTCCTTGGGGTCTGCCCCGGCCTTGGCCAGCTCCTCGTCAATCAGGTTGTCCTTCATGAGGATCTGCCGCCCCTTCTCCTCCAGGGCCTTCTTGGCCTCGGGGTACTCGGTGAGTGCCTCCATCAGGTCGTCCTTGGAGAGGCAGAACAGGTCCGAGTAGCCGATGCTCCTGATGTTGGCCGTCCGGCGGTTCCCTGACTTGCTCCCCTTGATGTTCAGGATGCTGATCTCCCCAAAGTAGCTCCCGTCGCTGAGGACCACGAACTGGGTGATGCCGTCCTCGGCCACCACGGCCAGCTTGCCCTCCTTGATGATGTACATCTCCCTCCCAATGTCCCCCTTCTTGCAGATGTAGTCCCCAGGGCTGAACACCGCCGGACGCAGCTTCAGCACCAGCTCCACCAGCAGCCCCGCCTCGCAGTCCTGGAAGATTCGGACCTTCCTCAGGGTGTCCAGGTGCACATTGATGGCGATCTCAGCCTTCAGCTTGTCGGGGAGGCTCTTGAGCACCTCCTTCTCATCCACTGTCTTCTTATTGGCCCACAGGTAGTCGAACCAGCGGATCACCCGTGTCTCCAAGTCCTTGGTCACCTTGCGGAACTGCATGTACTGCTTGATGGAGTCGATCTTGGCCTGGAACTCGGCCCGTGAAGCGTTCATGTTTGAGATCATGGAGCCCACGTTGCCCACGATGGTGGCAAAAATCAGGACTCCCACCAGGAAGTCGATGACCACAAAGAGATACTCCTCGTCTTTTACGGGGGGTGGGGTCTCCCCAATGGTGGTCAGGGTCAAGGTGGACCAGTAGAGACTGTAAATGTATTTTCTGGAGAGGCGCCCATACTCTGGGTTTGAGATGTTTGGGTAGACCCAGGAGTCGGTCCCGAAACCAATGAACTTGGAAATGGCAAAGTAGATGCAGGCATTCCAGTGGATGATGATGAGGATGTACAAGACCAAGTTCCCAATCCTGAACATGTTGGGGTAGTTGGTCCTTGTCTCTGTGCGGTCAAAGAACTCGAAGAGCCGGGGCAACTTCAGTAGGCGGTTGAACCTCAGTTCTGGGTAGTTCATGCCCAGCTTAAAATAAGCCAGGTCTGTGGGGACCAGGGACAACATGTCCAGCTTGAAGTGCAAGGTCTTCGTGTAGTGCTTCCACAGCCGGTTGGCATCCGTGACCATCAGGCCTTGCTCCAGGAAGCCTGAGGAAGAAGACCGATCACGCGGGCATCAAAGAGGCTGCCTGTGTATGATCACGGCCCACAGAAAGATATTTTACCTTGTGACTGCACAAGATGTGGTATTATGTATATATAAAATAGAAAAAATTTCCAAAAACCATACTCACGATTATTACAGGAAATGTGCTCTGGTATTTTCTATCAGATCATCTAATCTATTTTATTCAACTAAAAATACAGATCAGTTAGGTAAATTTGAATGTGGATTGGGTATTTGATAGTAGTGAAGAAAGATTATTAAATTTTAAGAGATAAATGGAAGTTATATTTTTAAAAATGGGTCCTGGTTAAAGCTACTTGCTAACATGGTTACTGTCTGAGATTCACTTTAAAAAACCTCCATCCAAGAACAGAGTGTGGGAGGATAAATGAACCAAAATTAGCAAAGTGTTGATAATAGTTGGAGCTGGATGAGGGTACATGGGGATTCATAATAGTGCTCTCTCAGTTTTGTATATGTTTGAAAATATTAACAATAAAAACTTTAAAAACACTGGTCATAGCCTCGCAAATTGACTTTACCAGTTACTAATGGGGCATGACCTGTCTTTTTAAAACCTTGCCCATGGGACTTCCCTGGTGGTTAAGACTTCACCTCCAACACAGGCAATGTGGGTTCCATCCCTGGTCGGGGAGTTAGGACCCCACAGGCCGGTCACTCAGTGCTTCTGGGCCCTGTTTCTCAAGCAGTAAGATGGAGATAATCCCACCCGCGCTTCTTGTCTCCTGCAGCAGTTCTCACGAGAAAACAAGATGTGCTTGGAGTGCTTTGTGTATTATAAAGCTGCCCAAGGTTCTGCTGTGATCTGGTGGTGTTTGTATCCACAACCACGGCACAGTTTTTAGTTTAAAAACCTTGGAAGTGACAAGCAGGGCCTCTGCCAGCTTATGTGATGTCTTTGTGCAAATCAGAAAGAGGATCCTCAAGGATTCACAGCTTGGAGTCTGAGGCATGGGTGCGGCTTTAGGCCTGGCTCACAGCTAGAGGTGGTCTTGTTACTGACTGGGGTCCTTGGACTCTTTAACCAACAGAAACTGGTGAGAGACCAGACCAGGAATTCTAGCATTCTGGGATGCAGGCAGCAGCAGCACTAGGCCGTGAAACGAGTAACAGGTGTCCTTGCTCGCTCCCTGCGGGTGGGCTGCTTTCTTAAGGGGGGTGGGGGTGCATCTGTGGGTTGGGCTGGAGGTGTGGCTTAGGTGGTCTGTATATGGGGATAGTTATTTTTCATTCCTTATAGATCCTTTGTATTCTGTTGCTGCACAAGCGCTCTGGCAGAAGGTCCCAGGTCACAGGCTCTTAATCTGAAGGAAGTCACACCCTCCTAGGCCCTGTTTCAGAGTTTGGTTCTCTGTATATTACACCTGCTCTAAAAGCCATGGGTAACATGCCCTGGCTCTTCTGACTGTCCAAGAAGAGGAACCCCAAGGGCTACTGTTCTGGATCTCCATGAACCCGTCCACAGGCCCAGGCCCCCCCACTGCTGCATGCTGTGGGATCTACGACCCTGGGCCCTGGCCCACTCACCTGTCCGGGCTCGGACCAGCACATCCAGGCCATAGAGGATGTCTGCCGAGTAGTCCAGGACCAGCCAAAGCATCAGGTGCTCGGACTGAAGCTCATCGAAACAGGCCCTAAAAAGTGCAAGAAGGGCAGTGCGGGGAGGGCGGGGGTGGGCAGCAGCGCTGCGCTACAGACTGGGGCTCAGAACATCCCAACAGCCCGGCCTGCTGGGCTGCACCCCAGCACCTCACCCCGGCCTCGATGAGGGACCTGGGCTCTCAGAAGCTCTTCTGCCTCGAGGTCACAGAGCTCCTAAGAAGAGCTGAGACTGACACCAAAGAGTGGGCCCTGTTGTCTCTTGACAGTAAGTGATGTGATGGCCCCTTCCCCACACTGGGGGGAGGGCGGTTTCTCCAGGCCTCAGTGGTAGAGTCACATGAAGGGGTTAGAACTTGCCCTTTCTGGGGCCAAATGCCAACAAAGATACTACAACTTCTAGAGATTAACAATGGAACAAGTCACATGTGCCCCCTGCAAAACAATAGCTCACCATGCACCCCAAACGGCTCAGAAAGCCCAAAGCCCCGCTCTGGTGTCTGCCCCCCGGTGGGGGAGGTTGGTCCAGACTGGGATTGACATATACACACTATTATATATAAAATAACTAATAAGACAGCTAATAAGGACCTATAGTATAGTTCAGGCAACTCTCTGTATGACTTACATAGGAAAAGAAACTAAAAATCAGTAAATATATGTATATATATAACAGGCTCACTTTGCTGAACACCTGAAACTAATACAACATTGTAAATATACTATATGCCAATAAGAATTAACAGAAAACAAAAAAGAAAGCCCAAAGCCCATAGCCAGCGGAGAACACCGCCTGTTACCTACACCCCCGCCCTGCAGGTCAGCGCAGGAGTGACCCAGCCCTCCCACTTCCCCTCAGGAGAGCAATATCTCGCTCTTGCAGCTTCCTCCTGCGACTCAGTTAGGAAGGCTCCAGGGTTGCAGGACCTTTGCTGTGATCTCAAACACAGGTCCCCACGGGTGCTCCCTCTGTTAGCGCTTCCTTATGGACAGAGCCTGGAGGGGGGCATGGCCGCCCACCCCAGTATTCTTGCGTGGGGAATTCCACGGACAGATGAGTCTGCTGGGCTACAGTCCGTGGGGTCGCAAAGAGTTGGATACTGAGCCACTGTGGGCAGAGAAACTGAGGCACGTGCACCCGGGGGTAGCGCCCGGGGACTCAGAGCTCTGTCCCGAGCTGCTCTGCCCCGCTACCTGCACACGAGCAGACACCAGTTGTAGAAGACAGGCGCGGCGATGGCGGTCAGCCAGTGGTAGTACATGTTGCTGGAGGGGTCCACCACGACGCCGTCCTGCTTCTTCCTGGAAACGCCCACACAAACAGCACAGCGTGTTGGAAGTCTGGAAGCTCTGGAGGGGTTTAGAGACCTGGTCTAGCTTACAGACCCCAGGGAAGCTGTGGGCTGCAGCAGAAGAGATGACTTCCCAGATAGGGTGCTGTCAATCTCCGCGGGGGTCACGTGGGTGTCCCTATAGAGGGCCTTCTCTGCCAGCCCCAGGAAGCCACGGTAACTCTAAAACCATGGTGATGACATTCCCACGTGCCCTGTGGTATCATCCAGGCCCTCCAGGGTGCCAGGGAGGAAACTGTAGCACTGTAATGTTGGAACCACATCAGGGAAGCTTTGGGAAAATGCAGCTTCCCAGGCCTGCCCAGACCCCTCCAGGGCTGGGGTGTGGAAATGTGCATTTGACTATCGCCCCAGGCAGTTCTGAGGCAGCTCCTCTCTGGACTGACCTTGGGATCCCAGGGCTCCCCTTCAAGAAGGTGCTCTGTCCACCTCACTAACTGCATTTGTGCAGATGTTCTAAAGCCTCACTTCCGAGCACTGGGGTCCTGCCTCCCACCGAAAACCACCAGCCTGGGAATCACTGCACTTACATCAGCCCAAGACTGAAAGGAAGAAATAGCTTAGGGTGCTTTCTGCTTTCATTTTCAGGATTTTCGGAGGGTTAGGATTTATAGTTGGTACTGGAGATCTTTTCTTTGGGTCCACCTGTCTCCTCCCCAACACCAACTCCCCACCGTGCCCACTAGGCCTGCGGACCTGCTCCTGCACCCCAGAGGACACCCTTTGTGTTGCCTTTCTGCTTGCACCTCAACTGAGCAAATGCAAGATCAGTTTCTCACTGACAGGGCTTTGGACATTCCCAACCACCAACACTCATCATCACTGGGTTTGAACTACAATTTGTGAACATGGTATTTTCTAGTGCCTGGGAGAGGGGCTCCACACACCCCACGTGTGAAGATGACGCCTGGTGGGCAAACAGAACGCCCCGGGAGAGGGCAGGCTCCCAGGGAAGCCCCCAGCTGCTCACCTGGGGCTGCAGACCACCCCGCCTACCTACAAGCCCCACTCTGAGGTCCCCGACTTTCCCTGCAGAATGAGACCCCCACATGAGCTCAGCAGGCCTGATCCCTGCCTGAGACCAAGTCCTTTTCCATAGCCCTAAGCAGCTCCTCTCCAGGGCTGACCCCGAGGCCCCACGGGTCAGCCTCTCCCTCCTCCCGGAGAGGGACCAGGCGTGCTGTGACCCCAGAACTTCCCCTCTTTGGGGGCAGTTTCTCTGAGTACTTACTCCTCTTTCTTGGGGTTTTCCTTTTTCTCTTCCTTTTTCTCTTTCTCCTCCTTGTTCGCCTTGTGACTGGATGACACAGGGTGACACTTAGCAATTTTCGAATACCACAGGGAGCGGGCAGGGCACAGTGACGGAAGGAGGGGGTGTGGTGCAGGAAACTCATCTTTCCAGCACACTGGGGTGAAGCGAGGTTGCTCATTTCAATAATAATAATAATGTCAGGAAGCTGGTGCACAGAGAGCTCAGGTAACTTGCCCAAGGTCACAAAGCTCTCAGGTAGCTGAGCTGGGGTACAAATGCTCTTAACCAGTACATATCTTAAACATATTGCGTGTATGTGGTGCTAGCTGTAAAAAAACTGCCTGCCAATGCAGGATTTATAAGAGACGTGGGTTTGATCCCTGGTTCAGGAAGATCCCCTGGGGAAGGAAAGTGCAATTCATGCCAATATTCTTGCCTGGGGAATCAGGGAGCCAGTCCATGGGGTCACAAAGAGTCAGACATGACTGAAGCAACTTAGCATCTATGTATGTATGTATGTATCTATTTATCTACCCATCTATATTCTCAATACATAGACCTAGAGAAAACTTGGAGGTATATTTGCTGATATGTGAAGAGGGGTTTCTCTGATAATGGGGTTCGATTATTAACATAGAGTATACTTTTGTGGGTATGTGCTCATGGGTGCTTTTCTGTTTCCCAAGTTTTTGACAATGAACATATTAATAAGTTGAGTAGAAACAAAAAGTTATAATCGGTGAATGAGAAGCGCAAGGACAATCACCCCGTCCTCTGGTCTCTTGAATCCACTGGTCCTTCAGCAGCTGAGTCTTAATGCCAAGACACCAGCAGAGGGTGCTGCCCACAAGCTCATGGGGCACACAGCCCTGCTGGGAGTTTAATCACACCAGGCTCCGCCACCCTTGTTCAGGATGTGTGGCCTGGGTTACAAGCTTTGGCCTTTCCTCTGGCTGCCAACCTGCTGAGGCCTAGGGAAGACCCCGTGCCATCCAGCTGTGTCCCGGAATGCACCCAGCACTGACCCAGGGGGCCTGCACAGAGCTACGAATCGATGGTGGCTTTGAGAACAATTTGATCAGGAAAAAGAAATTTTCAGAACCCATGGACTAAGTGAAAATGCCATAAATGTGGTGGAAGAGTGGGGGAAGGTGCCCATAAGAATTGCTTCTGCATCTTTGTGCCCAGGTGGCCCCATTTGGGAACAGTTCTCAGTTTTGTCCTTTGGTCCTTGGACTCATGGTATGAGCTCATCTGAAAAGATTTATCAGTGCCTGATGCAGCCAACAGCATGCATCCCCATCCTTGCCCACATCCTAGCCCCAGGTTAGAGAAGCCTGGAGACCCACCCACAGGACCTCTGCCCAGTCGGGTGTCCTGAGTCTTTACTCAACTGCAGGACTTTCAAGGGTGTTTGATGTTAGGTTTGCCTTGACATCAAGCACATTTCGAAACAGCTATCATTTTGCAGATTAAATCATTTCGTTTTTCTGACATTTGGGTCTCTGGATTTGATGTCCTACTTTATGTAAACAAAATGCAACTGAGGGCGAGGAATGGATTAGGAGTTTGAGATTAGGTCAACTCTTAGTGACCCCATAGACTGCAGCCCACCAGGCTCCTCCATCCATGGAATTCTCCAGGCAAGAATGCTGAAGTGGGTTGCCATTCCCTTCTCCAGGGGATCTTCCCAACCCAGGGACTGAACCTGGATTTCTTGCATTGTAGGCATTACTGGGAAGCCCTTCTTTTTCTCACTTCAGGGAAGAAATGGATTAAGAGTTTGGGATTAACAGATGCAAACTATTATATATATAGCATGGATAAAGAACAAGGTTCTACTGCATAGAACAGGAACCTATACTCAGTATCCTGTGATAAACCACAACGGAAAGGAGTCTGAAAAAGAATATATAAAACTGAATCACTCTGCTGTATACCAGAAATTAAAACAACATTGTAAACTTATTTCAATTAAAAAAATAAATTTAAAAGACAACAACAACAACCAAAAAACCCCCAGTGCAACTAATGTTCACGGAGGGAAACAGAAACAAAAAGTCTATCAGAACAAAGGGAAATAACAAGAAAAAGCCTTGGCATAGCTCTCTGTCAACCGGAGGTCAACAAATTGGCATTTCTTGCTGATATGGTCCTCCTAGGCTCCAACTGAGACCTCCCCTTTCCCTACCTATCGCTGTGGTGTTCCATAAAGGAGGGTTGGAGAACGGGGCACACATGCACATGTGTTCACACATATAAATGGTCACATACACATACACACTCCCAAAAGCCCAAAGGTTTTTGGATGGCGTTGCCAGAATCACTCATCAAACTTCTCTGCCAGCTCGGCATCAGGTGGTAGGAAGCAATCGCAGTGGGCCAGTGTTTCAAGAGGTTGTTCTCTGGAAATACTTAAATTTCCTCTTTCCACTGATTACATCCTGATCATGTCCTCCAAAGAGGCCCAAATTAGCCTTAAGACAAGAGCATTCCCCTGGCACACAGGAGCTTGAGGACGTAGAATGAAAAGTACATTCTTATCATGAAGGAGAAGATCCACTGCTCAGTAAAGAGACCCCAGCTTTGCACCTTCAGACACATAGCAACAGAGAGTGCTGGCACTGAAAATGTTTACCCATCCAGCTCCTTCGCTTTACAAATAGAACAATGCAAGACACACAGAGAAAAGAGGACCTGCCCAAGGAAGTCACACAGAATAGGTCCCTCCCCACGTGTGTCCACGGGGATGGGTTTCCAGTGCCAGGAGCAGGGTTCTAGCACGGTCTGGAGGGTGTGGCAGAAGCGGCGGGCCTAAGGAGGGAGACACGGCTGGGTGTCTGCAGGAGGCTGGGTGTCTGCAGGATGTCTGCAGGAGGTGGGGAGGGGGAGGGACAGAGGTACTCACTCCTTCTCTGAGTTGTTGCAGGTGTTGGTGTTGTTCCTGGCCAGGGGCCAGTCACTGTGGGGAGGCAAAGAGAATCTGAGCTTGGCCCACTTGCCGGGGACCTCTTGCCCTCTGGGACTCCCATGCCCTGTCTCCTGGGCCTTTCCGCACAGTTTGAACACAGGGAATTGTTATTGTTGGGGACAAACTTTTCGGGTGTGACCAGTTTGTGCTGGTGAACGCCTCGGAGTAGAGCAGAGGATGAACACATGGGTAACGTGAGGATTCTGAATAAATGAGGGGTACCTCTTTGAGTCCCATCCAGCACCCCGGCCCCAATTCCTCTGATGTTTCAGCATGCGCCAGGCAGTGCACCAGACACTATGGAGGGCACAGAGATGGCCCAGCATGGTGCCCGCCTCGGGTGCTTCTGGGTGAACAGGCTGAGTGCCATGGACCGAGGTGGACAGAGTTAGCGGCAGGGACGAGGTTCTCACAGGGCCCCTCCCTCAGACGCCTCATCACAGGCATTGCTTCCCATTCTTAGGGCAAAGAATAGACAGGGCAGAGCTACCCCAGGGCTCAGCCCATCCTCCCCAGCCCGGTCCCCAGCATTCGCCCTAAAACTTCAGGGCCCACTACCCAGATCTATGTGAGAATCTTGTAGAAGGTGGTTTGCACCCAGCGATGTTTATTTGAAGCTGGACTGGGCAGTGCTTGATGATGTTCTTTAGGAAAAGGCGTGATCTTCGTGAGCTCAACTGCCAGTTCACGTGTGTGACAGCTGGTTTAAGAAAGCCAGCCTGAATCACAGGGCTGGGGGGAGGCTTGCCTGTCTGTGGTCACTGCAGACCAGTCACAGGACAGGAGGTCTGGGGGCCAAAGCCAGTGGCTGAGACACTCCACACTCAAGGCACCTCTCCTCTGATGTCGAACATCTAGCCAAATACCTTTCTGGTACCTCTGCATGCCCTGCCCATGCCTCCCTCCTTCTATTCAGAATGTGGCTCTAATCGCTTTTTTCAGGATTAATTTAGATCATCTGAAAATCCCCTGAGGGATCAAAACTGTGCTATTACAAAGGAAAGTTTCGGTTTCTGGGGTGCAGTGGTATGTGATTGCCACACCCCTGTGCCCATAATCTCACTGGGCCAAACCCATAGGAGAACTAAGACCCATTTCTGCATACATTTTGCTTTGCTAATGGGACTTGGCCTTGAAAATTCAAGGTCTTCTTCCACCAGGAAGCTTCCCTGATTGCTCTGCTCCCATCCTGCACCATCGCATTCACCTGCCCACCCTGAACCTTCCAGTGAGTTAACCATGCATTGGTGGCAAGTTGGGGCCTGGCCCCAATGGGGTCCTAGGTCAACCCTCCACTTATCTGGTCACACAGGGAAATGGACAGTCTAGAGTTCGTCTCCATGAATCTCAAGTTGCAGAGAAGACAGCTTGATCAGTTAAGTCAAGGAAGTCTTTGCTTGCCCAAAAGGAACTGAAGCAGTTTGTTGACTTGCTAACAGACCTCCTTCCCTCCCTACCCCTTCTCTGCTTCCTGCACCCCACCCCCTGCCACACACCACCATTGCCCTACCCCGCTTCTCCGTGTTCCCTTCTTCCTGAGCCTCCATCCTTCCTGTCTCTCTGGCCCAGCAGTGACCAGCACGTGCGCCTTGTGGTCCTAGAGCTCCCTAACAGGGATGCTCAGCTCTGGGAACCTGGAATGGCCCTGCACATGTCCAGCACTCAGGTCCTCCACAGCACCCTTCTCACAGCCCAGGAGACCAAGGGTTTGTTGTCCAAACTCGTGTAAAACAGCAGCCCGGAAGTGCTGCTCCACTGGACCTCTGCCTCTCAGCCAGCAACTCTCATGCCTTTCCCCAGCAGGGAAGACTAATGCAGGCCTCCTAATGTCACTAGCAAGACATTTCTTTGAACTCTCATATTTTATCTTAAGCAAGCTTGTACATCTTGCACATTTCACAATGTAATGCATAACCTATAATAAAAATACCCCCCCCCCCCCCGCCCACCGCAATTAGGAAATAAAACTGAAGCTCCGAGAAGATCCATCCTGTTTTCCCTAAAGCTTCAGAGCCTTCACTCCCCAGGGGCTTTCTCTGCCTGTTTGAGGTGCCACATCTGAGCCCTTCTGCTCCTTTGATGCAAAAACAGCATTTTCTCAATCAAATTACATAGGGACTGTCGGTTCTGCAACAACCATGCTTCTTTTTCACCCTACTTTTTATGTCTTTTAACTCCTGGCATGACCTAGAGAATTCAGAATAAAGATCTTGTTCAAGCCCCCCTTCCCCTTAAAGCAGGTTCTGAGCAAGTGTCCTCTTGTTTGTGAGGCTGAGAGGAGGTCTGCTTCCCCCGCAGGCTCACCTCTCCTGCTGCCACGGGGTCCTAAAGAGACCTTCTGCTGTTGAGCGACAACTGATTCAACCCGTGGTGGCTCAGTGGTCTCCCACTGACCAGAAGCTGGGTGCTTCTCAAGAGCACTAGAGGGGAGGGGGAGGGGAGACAGCAGCTCTGTGTGGGGAGTGGCAGCAGGGCATACCAGTCTAGCCTCTGCAAATTTCTCTGCATGCCTGCACCCCACAGAACCAGACACAGCTCCCCGCTGGGTAGGGGGCCAGGCAAGGTGCGCAGAGCCCTTGTTCTGCAGACCCTTCTCCTAATGAAAAGCAAACACTCTCCCCATCCCCCCCAAGACCCACCTATTGTCCCCTCATTGTTCTCAACCTAACCTGGGGTTGGAAGGTTCCCCTTGAAAGTTCTAACCAACCTTCAGATCTTTTCCCCAGAAGAATGCACCTATACCCATCCATAAAATTGTGGGTACCAGGCAGGTACTCCCCAAGGCTCATGGTACAAAAGCCTCAGTTTTCTAGCAAGACAGGTCACAGTGCAGTGTAGGATGAGGGTCCTTTGATGGAGAGATTGGTGAGGCCAATGTCCTGGAAGTGTGATTCTGAAAGCACCATCACCAGGGGGTGCTGGGGGGTTCTGCGGAGGACAGGATCAGAGCTCAGTTGAGGCTGGGGCCTCAGGTTAAAGGGTTTCATCTCCTTCAGGGCTTCTTGAAGTCTGATGGAGACGCTTAGAGCATGCAGTGTACCCCAGAACAGACCCTTTCTTAGGGAATACCCGGGCACCGATGTTCCAGGCCACATGATGGGCGAATCCACACTGGACCAAATGAGCAGCAAGTGCTTCCAGTCCCATCTGGTACAGGTGGCCCCATCTCCCTTACCTTCTCCCTCTGTCTGGCGGCTCCTGGCTGCCCACGTTGAACTGGACATGGCTTTCTCGGCTCCAGTCCCATCTGGTACAGGTGGCCCCATCTCCCTTACCTTCTCCCTCTGTCTGGCGGCTCCTGGCTGCCCACGTTGAACTGGACATGGCTTTCTCGGCTGGACACCTCTTTGAGCTCGGCTCCGCTGAAACGCTCCAGGAAAGAGTTGGGTCTCTGGTCCTCCTGGTGTAACTGCCTGGGGGTCCAGGCACGGAGCAAGATGATGAGGCGTGACAACCTGGAAGGACAGATGGGCAGCCAGGGCGTAGTAGAAGGACGCGGAAGCCCCCTCCCAGAGGGTGAGGGCAGGGGAAGTGATCCCGGCAGGCGGCAGGCTCAGGTTTGACCCCACCCCTGCCCCCATTCCCCAGAATTGCTTCTTCCTCCCTCCTCTGCCACCTGGGATGGAGCTTCCTTCAGAAGGGATACTATTTTCATTGTGGCTTTGTCACTTTAATGTCTAGACTCCATCAAAGGCATGATCCTTCCAGTGGGACCTTAGCAAGTTTATCTGCTCAGTTTTCCTTTTGCCCCATGTAGAGTTCTTTGTTATGACTGGTAAGTAGAGGAACAGTAAAAATACACTTTCCAAATAGGAATAAAATTCAGAACAAGTTTAATGGAGCACGCACCCAGATACAACCTAGGTTCTTTCACCAATCCTTGTCCTATGAATTGCTTTTCATACAAACTCTTATTTTCTCTCCTGGCCTGTGGAGAAGTCCCTTTGCAATGGGCACTGACCTCTGTCTTGGAGCAGACCTGGTCCAGGCCTCAAGCACCTGAACCCAGGCCGCCCACATGCCTAGAGCTCATCTCAGCTCCAACTTTCCTGTAAAACCTTCCCTCAGCCCCACCTCCTGAGTCTCAGCAGTGGCAGGGGGATTTGGAGGAGGTGCAGGGGGTGGGGGGAGTTTGGGCCGAGAGATTCAACTCTGCTTCTTGGTGTCTGGCTTCCCTGACTTGGCACCCACAGTAACCCAAATCTGTTCTGAGCAACCTGGTATGGAGTCATGAATTGTCACATACCTTGATCCCCATCACACACTTGTGACCATAGCCTAAAAATAAATGCAGCAAAGGAATATCCCACAAACAGAACAGAGAGGCTAACAGCTGCTGCTGCAGATGAATGTCAAGGTGCCTGCCAGGCCCAACCTCTCTGCTCTGACACTCCGCCCACTCAGGTCTTCCCTCTGCTGAGGGGTGGAACAGAGGTCATACTCCCTGGAGCTCCAGCCTCGGCCAACAGGCTCAGGGATGGGCAACGGATGACTGACCCACAGAGACTCAGTCACTCAAGCCTCTGAACTAAAAACCACTTCAAGATGGGGTTGGGTGTTGCAACTCAGGATGGTATGGTGCAGGCCGTTTTCAGCCTGTACCCACTGAGGTGAGGGCAGAGAAAGCCAGAAGTGGAAGAGGCAGGCAGCACAAGGATCATGAAATGCTGCTAGAGAAATGAGACAGGGAAGGCGGCTGCCTCCCCGGGGCCCCTCATCAGCCCCACCGTCTCCATTTCCACGAGGTGGCCTGGGCCTTAGGTTATACCAGCCTTGCTCTAGCCTTCCCCTTTCCATCTGAGCTAGTTGAAGGTGTTCTCTTCCTTATAATCAACAGGCCTCAAGAGAGCATTTTATTAATAAGACGGAAAAAAACCACTGCATATCACTTAAGTGCCCAGCTACAAGGAGCTGGTGAAATAAATAATCCTCCACCATGAAAAACATGAAGAATAACTAGATAAATTAATTTTTTTGAAATACTCTTAGGCAGAAACTGTAAAAAACACTACTGTATGAAACTCTGGCTTTGGATGAAAAAAAAAAAAAACCTCAGTGGAAGGAAATCATGAGCCCAACATTTGCTGACTGTCCAGTGTGGGCTCTGCTTCTGCCCTCATGTTACTAGATGCATCTTCAGACAAGATTTGAAAGGTGAAATGATGTCCTCCAGGTGGTACAGCTATTGAAGCTGGAGAACAGATGTCATCAGAATGGAGACAGAGCTCAGAGCCGAGTTAATCTTTCAAATGCTTTTGCAAGGATGTGAGCTATGAAGTCTAGACACTTAGGACTGAGGACCTGCCAGGGGCTATTTCAGACAGGGCCGCCATTGCCATCTGCCTGCCACCGTGGTCCACCCTATATTCTCCCCTGGCTGGCGGTCTCTTTTCTGAATTCTTTTCTGAAACTTCTCTGGTTGGTGTTTTTTTTTTTTTTTTCCTGAATTCTTTCAGAATTGAACATGTACCTTGATATCATTTTTTATGAGACCAATTTCAGATAAAGGCAGTTTTTCTTAGATTTTTCTGAGCTCAGAACACCTGACCCAAGAGGAAATTACTCCCTGATAGATTTCTGACTCTGCCTCTCCTGCCCCTTTCTTCTCCAAATCTGCAACCCCACCCTCATCCACCATTTCCTCCTAAGACTTATCTTCTTTCTGCCTCTGTCTCCCCTTTCCCAAGCTAAGGGCCGAGACTGGTCAGTTACCTGGTGGGAACCTGGCTGGTGAAGGAGCTTTGCCTGGATTCAGCCAGTCCTCTAGTCTCCATGGCAATGCCTTCCTGCAGTTCTGACGATGTCTCCTCACATGGCAAATGGGTCCTAGGAAATCAAATATGCAGCAAGAGAAATTGATTTCCAGCTCATCCACCTCTTGGACGTGTTAAGGACTGAGATGGCCAGATGCTCTGCTTAAAGAGGAATGCTGCTGTCAGAGATCCTCACCCCAGGGCTCTACACTTCAGTTTATGCTCCAGAAAATCCTGACTTTTAGGATAATGTGACCTTTCCTTTATGGCAAGGAGGCCACTGCCCATAGCCTAGGTGAAAGGGGCAAGCCAGCAGTAAATGGTCCTTATTAGAGCATCGAGGGCAGGGCGTTGGGGTGGGGGAGGTACCATGCCTGCCTCTGGAGCCAGAGCAGTTGTTTCCACATGAGGATTCCAGAACAAGGATTTTGGTTCACACACATCTCTGCATGCTGAAACCTTATCTTCTAAAGCCAGATCAAGGGCCGCCTCCTTCAAGAGGTCTTCCCTTGCCCTCTGTCCCTGTGTGTATGTGCTGCAGGAAACCACTGGTTAAGAGGAGGGTCCTGAAATATTGTAATGAATTGGCTTCGTATTTGTATAGTGCTTTCAATGAAAGTCCACTTCTGCTGTGCCCTTTTGCCAAGGCAGGGGTGGAGGACCTTCCCTTGTGCAATTCAGGGCAAAAAGTCTGAGCATCAGCAGAGTCTGGTGTTTGTTGAATTTCCTGGAATAAGATCTCTCTGTTGGGGCCTGTTTTCCTTTCTTTCCCTTTAAAACTTCCTGGGGCTGAAGTCTGATCAGCCTCATTAAAAGCCATTCCAGGCAGTGGCCTCTAAGGATTTGCACTACATCCTTCCAGTCTTAAAGAGCCCAAGCAAGACAAATTAATTTGATCACATGACCTATTCCAACCTAATCAGCCTTCTTAACAAGGTGGCAGCACGGTTGAAGAAGTAAGCAAGAATTACTGTCAGGGTACAGGCTCTGGGTCTCCCCAGTGAGTGATCAGAAGTCAGAATCCCACAACCTAGCTGCCAAGCTGCTGCCTCTTCCTTTCTGCAACAGCCCTGCTGTCTCCAGCACAGGGGGAGCTCACTACCACACCGTGGCTCCTCCAGGCGGTCTCTGCTCAGCCCTGACAGCCAGCAGGTTCTTCTCCCCCTCAGATTCCCCATATCAAGGATGCATTTTTTTTTTTTTTTGCTGAAAACACACAGAGTGATACATAAAGTATCTGCCATTTATTGACTGCTTACTGTATGTCAGCCACATGCATTTTATCACTTAAATCATATAACAACATTATAAGAGACGAAACTGAGGTTCAGGGAGATTAAATAACTTTCCCGAGGTCACATAGCCAAATGGCAAAACTGAGATTTGAATGCCATCCCATCCCATTTCAAAGCCTGCTGTCACCCACTCATGAATCTGCCTTCTGTATCTTCTTTTTTTTTTATGTGTTTATTTTACTTTATTTTTTTAATTTTTATTTATTTTTATTTATTTCCATTTATTTTTATTAGTTGGAGGCTAATTACTTTACAACATTGCAGTGGTGTATCTTCTGATTAAAGCAAAAGTTGAATAGGACATGGCTGAGGCAGATGGCGACTGCAGCTATGAAATTAAAAGACGCTTGCTCCTTGGAAGAAAAGCTATGACCAACCTAGACAGCATATTAAAAAGCAGAGACATTACTTTGCAACAAAGGTCCGTCTAGTCAAGGCTATGGTTTTTCCAGTAGTCATGTATGGATGTGAGAGTTGGACTATAAAGAAAGCTGAGCACCGAAGAACTGATGCTTTCGAAATCTGGTGTTGGAGAAGACTCTTGAGAGTCCCTTGGACTGCAAGGAGATCAAACCAGTTCATCCTAAAGGAAATCAGTCCTGAATATTCATTGGAAGAACTGATGCTGAAGCTGAAACTCCAATACTTTCTCGACTTGATGTGAAAAACTGACTCATTGGAAAAGACCCTGATGCTGGGAAAGATTGAAGTCAGGAGAAGGGGATGACAGAGGATGAGATGGTTGGATGGCATCACCGACTTGATGGACATGAGTTTGAGCAAGCTCTAGGAGTTGGCGATGGACAGGGAAGACTGGCGTGCTACAGTCCATGGGGTTGCAAAGAGTTGGACACGACTGTGGACTGAGCTGGACTGAGGACGGAGTTCTGTAGCATGCCACTAGAGACGTGACTCTGACTCCCCTAGCTGCACTATGTGGGCATGTTTTTGTTATTAGCAAAGCATCTAATCGAATTCTCTCTCTAAACTCATAAGAGACCACTCACACCTCAACCTTATACATATAAGAGACCCTGTCAGGACTTACCCTGACAGTGGATAAGAATCCATCTGCCAATACAAGGCACATGGGTTCAGTCCGTGGTCCAGGAAGATTCCACATGCTGCAGAGCAACTAAGCCCATGTGCCACAGCTGCTGAGCCTGAGTGCTGCAACTAGTTAAGCCCGTGCACCTAGAGCAACAGCAGTGAGAAGCCTGGGCACCGCAACAAAGAGTAGCCCCCACTTGCTGCAACTAGAGAAAGCCTGCACACCAAAACGAAGACCCAGTGCAACCAAAAATAAAATAAAAATTAATTAATTTAAAGAGAGAGACCCTATCAGAGGCCCTGCTACAATTCGGAAGCTACAATTCCCTTGCCCTTCTAATATTGTGTACCACAAAGCTGGGAATGCATGTTCCAAGGCACCGGGTCAGTTGCAGGAGGGGGAGGCAGGGAGACAAGTAAATCCATCTCTCCAATCCCTGGTTCCGAGCACCTGGCACGCCTGGGAGTGGGGAGCTGGAGGTGAGGGCAGCAACGGGCAGCTGGGCTGGAGCTCTGCACAGCCTGTGTGCCTGGAGGTCTGGAGGTGGTCCCCAGGAAGAAGGTGTTCTGTCCCCACCAGCTCCTCAGGGAGTTCCAGGCACCAGGCAGTCAGCCCAGCATTTCTGCCTAGTCTGGTTTCTGCTAATTGTGCAGGAGCACATCCTGAGAGCAGACTTACTTGCATCCGCAGCAAAGGACTCCATGCCCATGACATCAGAGCTTGTGGGTGAGTGAGAGGGGCACAACTCACCCCAGATTTCAAAGCAGGCCTGAAGCTGGCAGCAGTGAGAGCCACTGCATGTGGCCTGGACCCATGACGTCCCCTGGAAGGGGCCGCAGCAGAATGGGGGACCTGGAGGCCTGGGTTTGAGTCCCTACCCCAACACCTATTAGCTAGGTGTCCTGGGGGCTTGCCACTTACCCTCCTGAGTTTAATTTTCCTGGTCTTCAAAAAGGAAACAAAGGAAAAAATTGATTCCATAATGACTTGTTCAAACACCCAAGTCCCAAAAGGCACATTTAGTTGTGAGGAACAGGAAGGGTCTTAGCACCCAAGGGGCCTTCTTTTCTGGATGCATCTCCCTAATTGTTTCTTGATGCCCAAAGTTCTACCCTGATATCTTTCTTCTAGCTCCAGAATCTCTACCCTTTTTAAATGCTTGGGGGATATCTAAATAATAGCAAATCCAATGAGTTACTCCTCAGAGAAACTGATTTCACAAGGTAGACAGAAGGGGAGATGGGGTAGGAGGAGAGGAAACAAATGTCTGAGGTGACATGTTGAGTACCCAAGGACACACAGGTACTGCTGAAAGGGAGAACCTTCTGGCAATCACTGCAAGATCAGAGATTCAGAACCTCGAAGGGAAATACAGAGGGTGGAGACTGGGAGCCAGGCCCCGTCCTGCCAGGAGCTAGCTGAGGACTTGACAGGCCTCAGGCTCTATAGAACCAGCAGATCAGGCCAGGACAACCTGACTAGGTCTCGGTGGTGATGCTACCTCCACAGGAAGAAGCCCTGTGAAGCTGGTAATTAGCAAGAACAAGGACAACTGGTGAAACACAAGAAACTGATTGTTTTGAAAGACAAGGCCATTTTCAACGTGTAAAGCTCATCTTCTGTGTTTGTTTATACAGAGGAATTCATGTCCATGAGGTGAGGCTTTTTTGTCCCTGGAGGAAGCAGAGGTTCTCATCAGAATGTAAACAGGTGATTAACTTTGTGCTCTGTGGATCTGGTGTCTTCCTCTAGTGACCTGGGGGACATGCGAGTGAACAGAAGTGACCTTTAGAACAAGGGTGGAGAGCAGGACACATTATTTTTCTTCTCCTCCCAAGCCCCGAGGAACTAGAGTGACGGGCAGGGGCTGCCCCAGCCGCATGTGACCAGGGAACTGAGGTCACTGCATTTTTGCCTTCAGTTCTGGGGAAGCAGGTGGCAAATGGTTTTCTTATGTGATAATTGCTTTGGGCTCTGCTCAGGAAGCAGCACGAAGAAGTCTCCTCTTCTGTAGGACACGACCCCCTCTGCCCAACAGCTCATCTAAAATAGCCACACCAGGAGATTGCTCTGGGGGTTGAGGTGTCCTCGTGCTAGCTGTGATTCTCTGCGGCAGGTTCTAAAGTCTTTATTGCATTATCTGCAAAAACATGCCAGAGAGCTCTTAAATAATTGAGTCAATGAAACAGATCTAAATAGAAAGAGCAAAATGCAAGATATTTTTATTTCTGGTCTTTTCAAGGTATAAATTTAATTTTTTGTTGTTGTTCAAAGGAAACACGGTGATCCTTCCTTATGGCTCTTCACTAGCAAAATGATCCCAGTGCTTTAAAAGAGAAATGGAAACTGGTCTCTAATTTGGTGAAAGAGCTGGGAAGAGAGACGTCTCAGGGGACAGGAAGGTGATATCTTCCCTCTCTGGGGGGCCCTCAGCAAAGGGCCAAGCAACACACAGGTTCCCAGCACAGCTGAGTGACATCACTGAGGATGAAGAATGATTCACACTAAAGGACACACAGTTGTAATTATTTCTCCAAAGGCTTTCTTAAAGGATTGGAATTTCAAGGCAAAGATCTATGATTCATTCAGATTCTATTTCCTCCCTCAAAATAGTGATTCAAAACTTTAAAAAATTTCTGTGACTGTGTTAAAGTCCTTTGCTCAAATATATCTTACAGGGAAAACTGGTCTGTCCATAGACAGATGTTAGGCTGCCCTGAGAAGCAGGGGAGGGGCCTGGACGCAGCTTTCTGGCCCAAGGCTGTACCATCCCCAGCGTGAACTCCTATTCTCAATCCTCAGTGATGCTAAGGAGCCATTCTGGAAACTTCTGTTAACCCACTCCTGCTTCTGCGAGATAATGCTTCTCATGAAGGAAGCTTTTCTCCTCTCTCTGTTTGAGATCTCTCTAATGTTTCCATGGGATTCTGCACTAATCTGTCAACAAGCTCTTACCACGTGTGCTGCTGGGCATGCATGGCCCCCAGCGGGGCTCAGTGAGACTCGGCTGGTGGTCAGGCTGAGACAGCCTGATGTGGACACAGGCAGGAAACGGCCCGTCCAGCTGTCAGGGCAGCTACGGCTACCGGAGGTCAGAGGGGTCAGAGAAGGCTTCAGCCTGGGACACAGAGAAGGCCCATGGAGGTGAGCATCTCCAAGACCAGCAGGGCGGTGATAGGTGCTTACTGCATGGCAGGGGCTGTGGCATGAGCTTTACTCTGTTTTAACCTGTCTACTGCTCTCTGAGGTCAGAACTAGCATATTTTGCAGATGAGGTAACTGAGGCTTGGAGCTGTTGGTCAGCTTTTCAGAGCCAGTTTTCAAACCTGGCAGTGTGACCTTGAGCCTGTGCTGTTGGTCACCACACTGGCCTGGGGATGCAGAGCAGGGGAGGGGAGGGCATGGCATCACCCGGGGGAGAAGGCAGAGAGGACTGACCAAGGGCAGCATCTCAGAGCCCCTGCCGTGTGGCGGACCCATTCTCTGAGTGTGCGTGGGCCCAACCCGAGCTCACAGAGAGGCTCCGGGAAACCACAGGCTCTTCCACAGCCTTCAAACCAGGCGGGGCTTGCTCGTTGAGGCAGAGCCGGGGTGAGTCGGGCAGAGCTGGCCCGTGCGGTGGTGGTGTGGGTCGAGCCGGCATTCTGGGCAGGAGCCCCAGCCCAGCTGCTGGGCTGCCTTCTCTTGACTCTCCCACTGGGAGAAGCCAGAGAGACCCCAGGGAGCCTGGACCCCAGAGATGGCCTGGCTATGTCCTGCCTGAGGCAAAAGGGGGCGATGGGGAGAACCCCGCGCTGCTCCACGCGCCCCTGGCCCTGACAGCCTCGGCCCTCCTCCCCGGGGCCCGGGAGCCTCGTGTCTGCAGGGGCCTGGCTTCCCTGCTGCATGCCATGCTTGGGCCTGTTCGCTTGCTTGTTTTCAGCGCGGCGTGTGGGGCCTACTTCCTTGACCAGGGGCGGAACTCAGGCCCCTTGCGCTGGGAGCGTGGGGTCTCAGCCGCTGGGCCACCAGGGAAGTCCCCACTGGGCCTTTTTCCCCTTTTGCTGCAACCCTCTTTGAAGCCCCTCTTCAGCCCCTTCTTCAGGGGGTTTATAAGCTCTGATATGGGAAAGAAACTATTAATACATACCAACGTTTTAATAGCAGATAACTGGCCTAACAGTGTTCTTTTTCCTTTTAAATAAGGGCGATGACTTAAGCTAAAGGAAGGAGCCCTCAGTTGTGGAATACAGATTTGACCGTCAGCCAGTTGGCAGGCAGAGATTTGAGTAGGGTGAGAATTTCTGATGCCCCTGAGTCATATAAAATTTCCTGGATCTCAGCACCAACTTGCAAGAGTAGGAGGGAGTAAACATCTGTTGGCATGCTTTGAGATTTTCCTTCCTTTGCCTGAATCCCAGAAAGTGGGGATCCATACATGAGTTTGCAGTGATAGGGAAACTATTGTCTGTCACTCATAAGCAGAGTTTGCTAAGGACCTGGGACAAAGAACCTGGACACAAAAAAATGAAATGTGCATCTGAGAGAGGAAGAGACATATACGGGTGAGTGAGGAGAAATGATAGAGGACGGCCAGGGCCACGGATGCAAGGACTGAGGGACTGTCGTTGCATTTTTGGGCCCTAAATAATGTGCAATTTGCATGGGTGGGAGAAGTTTTCATGGCCATATCCATGGGACAAAAATAACATTAATATTGAAAATAAAGTTTCTTCTGATTTAACTCAATCAACTCATTGACAATTTAAGAAGCATCAAAAAAGTGTAAGTCCATCTGTACCAAATAGATACTCCCATTTCCCAATGCTGCTCCATTTCAGTTGAAGATTCTGAGGTATAGAGGGTTTAGTGCATTTTCCCAGGTCTCCCAGTAAGTTAGAAATAGGGCTTGAAGTAGAGGCCTCAGATTTCCAGGTGACTGCCTATGTCGGACATCATCGATGGTGCTGATGGCTTTGCTGGCAGGCCTGGCCCCTTCCCCCAAGTCCATGAGCATGACTGAGTCCTGACCCTCCCCGGGAAATGAGGGCCAGGGCACTGGATTGGTGCTCCACCCCAGCGCCCAGGACAGTGACTGGTGCAGACAGAGCCTGATAGACGATTGATGTCCACAAGGGATGGTGTGGCATTGTGGGGATGTTTTTACAGGAGTGTTTAATCTGCTGCGTTTTAATCTTCATTTTCATGCCTTCCAAAAGTTACATAATTTTTGGAGCATTTTCCCACATCTCTAAAATGAGAATAAAAACTATTTCAGTGTGGGTTGGGAGGAGTCATGCAGTTAGAAGGAGTGCTGTGAACAGCCTCCGCCCTCCAACCTGTCCTGCCCACAGACTAAGGCATTCTTTCTCCCCAGTCAAGAGCAGCTATGGGAACAACCTGTTCCAGGCGTGAAGTTCAAGCCCATCCTACCTGCTGAGACCGGTTTCAATGCAATCCAGATCTCTGTCCGTGGTCCTGACCGAGGGGTGTGTTCTGGTGGGGTGGGAGTATTGGGTGCTAATCTTGGCCATCTTCTTGCTGTGTCACATTCCGCCCCAAGGTGGCTGCTGAAACATGAACATGAACCAGATACGTCGTCAGGACGAGGAAGTAACTGAACACCCAGCTCGTTTGGGAGGGCTGCTCCCCAGACAAACCCTGGCACATATGTCCTCGTCCATCTCTCTCACAACTCCTGCCACACTGTGTTTTAGTTGGCTCTCTCTGGGTTCTTGTTCCCATTCAGAAGCACAAAAAAGGTCTTTTACTCCTTTGTATAAGCTGCATGCCAAGTACTGCTCAAAATTAAATGCTGATCAAACGAATGAACTTGGTATCCGATGTAAGAAAGGTAAAGCCTCATGATTCTCTTCAATGATGCAATGTCCCTCTTAACTCTGACTTTGTGGTGGCTCGGTGGTAAAGAATCCACCTGCCAATGCAGGAGACATGGGTTCAATCCCTAATGCAGGGAGATTCCCACATACTGTGGGGCAACTGAGCCCGGGTGCCACAACTACTGAGCCTGTATTCTAGAGCCCAGGGGCTGCAACGGGGCCCACATGCTGCAAATACTGAAGTCCGCACCCTAAAGCCTGTGCTCTGTAACAGGAGCAGCCACTGCAATGAGAAACTTCGTTGCCTCACAGCAGTGAAGACCCAGCAGAGACAAAAATAAATAAACAACTTTTTAAAAAGTAAAAAAAAAAAGTCTGGCTTTGTCATTTGCCTATGTTTACCTTATTAATTTTGCACATTTTATAGCTCCCTCAAATCTTGTTTTAAAACAAAGCATAAAAAGCCTAAATACTTGACATTTATAAAAACCTTTACAACAAGATGTTCAACCCGATACACACTTCATCTCATTTAATCCTCAAAATAACCTCATGAGACACATACAATTTCTGTTTCTATTTAAAGATGACTAAATTGAGATCCCAGTGCTAGAAATCTGACCATTAATACTCTCCCTTCAGCAAACAGTGGAAGGTGCTCCTCTGATCGATGAGAAAAGAAAACTGATGTGAGTGCACAGCTAGCATGAGGGAAACAGAGACAGACCAGTTGCATGATTTCTGATCAAAATTCTGCAGGAGGAAAATAAATTCCTGAGGCTAGTTTCTCTGAGGCAGATGAGCACAGGCTCTCTTGAGCAGCCGCACGGCTTGAGTGTGTCAGAAGTCAGTTGAGACCACTCCAGAGAAAAATGGTGATTTCCAGAAATAGCCCAGTGGCTCACTCCAGAACTAAATTAACTTCATATCCAAAGGAAGGTCGGTGCAGGGAGCCCAGAGCACTGCACCAAAGTACTCAACAGAGATGTGGTCCGTGCTCATCACAAGTTACTCAGGGAGGGGAAGCTACGGGCTTAGATAGTCCTGGTTCACCTTTGAGGTTTGATAGCTTAAGTCCATGATTTAATTAAAATATTACTGTTTTCTCAATAGATAAAAGATGGTTTTGATTTTTGAAAACTATGTTCATTTATGTAACTTAGTTTCTGGCTGACCACAGGAGATACAAAGAAATATAAGACAAAGACAGTTTTCAAGGATCTAAAAAGTGGGGCCGATGACAGATACCAAAGAGTCCTGCTGGTTGTATCAAGAGCTTGGATTCTACTCTAAGCCCAGCAGGAATGTGGTCAGATGTGTAAAGGTTATTCTGGCTGCAGTGGGGAGGATATATTCAGGGAACACGAGCAGCTAAGTGCTGCAGTATCTCAGGGGAGAGACCATAGTTGCCTGAACTAGGTTTCTGGTAGTGAATCAAATATAAAATAAATTTAAAAACTGAATGGATAGGAGCACGGGGCCATGGTAATTGATCGAGGATAAATGAGGGAGTCATGCTGCCACGACTGCGAGGGTGTGGGGTTGGTGCTGCTGCCGACTGAGGCGGGGACTGGGGAAGGAGGAGGGCAGAGGAAAAGAACGTTCCAGTTTGAGATATCTGCAGGAACTGTGAAGCCAGCATCTGAAACAAGAATCCCCCATTAAAGAAATACGTCTATAATGTGAAATCCTCCGTCCCGTGAGTTTTGAGCTGAGCCCTGACTGTACTGTTATGTGCCAGGCAACACGCTAAGAGCTCGGGTTTTGTTAGAAAACAATATGCAGCTTTGTCCTCAGGGAGCTTACAGTGGGATCTAGAGAACCTCTTAAAGAAGTCTGGGACTCTGTCGAAAACCTGTCAAAATTGCTCTTTGTACATTTCCAGGAAAATTGTACCAGACGAAGAAAAATCTCGATGCCCCCGGTCTGGCCCTTTCCCTGAACCGCCCTCTCCACCCTGGGCTCAAGCCCTGACCCGGATGCCAGTGAATGGAGGCAGCACTTCTGGACCCTCACAGACCTGCCCACTGTCGAGAGCTCCTGCATGCCAGGCACAGGGTAGGTGCTTGTGTAACACTGTCCTTTAACCCGCCCAGCTGCCTCCCTCTTCCTTCCCTTTTCCAGTGAAGAAACTGAAGAGGTGAGCAGCTTCCCTAATGTTGTTGCTTGCGACCTGAGCCAAGATTAACAAAAATCTGATTCCAGCGCCTGATCATGTAAAGTCTGTGGGTAGAAAAGAACTGGCATTGTTTTTTGGCCTAAGCAATAGGGCCCCTGCCTGGGGGTCCCATTCTTTAAAGGACCCACTCTGACCACTTTCCAACCACAGCCCATGACCAAGGGGACATGCCCACCCAGAACCCTGCCCCCCTGCCCTAGGCCATGCTCTGGATGCCCTGGACCCCCAAATTCCCTGCCCAGCAGGCTGTGAACTGGCTCTAGAGCCTGCTGGGGCCTCTTCCCAGGTCTGTCTTCCTGAGAAGTGTGTCAGTGTGCATGCCCTTAGACTTCCAGGTGGCACAGGAGGAGCTGTTTGTGAGGGAGGGTTAAATGGAGCTGTGGGCAGAATGCCCACGTGCATGTGTGAAAGTCCCCGCCCCGGGACTTGGGGTAAACCCAAAGGGAAAAGAAGGGGGCAAACCATGGATGGAGACCAGAGATCAAATCTCCCCATGCTGCCATGTTCTGAGGCCACTGTGACACGTGTGCAAACCCAGAAGTGCTAAATTGCAAACCCTTCTTGGGCAACCCTTGGCTGATAGAACCCAGAACCAAGGATAGATATTCCCCTCTTTTGTCCCCTCAGGAAGACAATTGAGACCTATATTCTACAGGGCTCTTTGGAGAAGCCCCTGAAGGGTCTGACCAGTTGCCCGTAGTGGTGATTAGCTCGACAATCTGCACTTGGGGTGTCTTCCCCTTTTTCCCTTGCTTTCTCTTCCAAGACTCTTCTCTTCCTTGGAACCACTTTCCCCAAAAAGCTGGCTGCCAGTATGCCCTTACCCAAGATTCTGTGGGTTCTTATGGTGAGAGGAGCGAATTACCTCAACTCAGAATGTGTTTTAGTTATTTAGCTATGGTAAGTGGCCCTTGACCCAGACCTCTCAAGGGTTAGAAGTAATCTAATTTTCTTTTTTAATTCTGTGTTCTTTATCCAGGAAAACGAGGTTGGGTAGGACAGGGCAAAATGTACATAATTAAAGGAAAATGTTAGTTTAAGATAAATCATAAGATCTTTCCCCCCTAATTGTTTCATAAATGTCATAATGGTTGTCTTTTTAAAATTACTTAAAAGAATAAGGGTCAAAACAAGGTCTATATAGTCTGATTGCTTTATGTATCTCTTTGGTATTTTTAAATCTAAAGTTTCTATGCATTTCTCTTCTTTCTTTTTATGGAAAAAAAAAACAAAACTGCTTGTACTACTGAGTTTCCCACAGTATGGATTTTTGCCAATTCCAGTTTTACAATGTTTCCTGTAAATTGGTAGCTGTACTCACGATGTGGTTAAATTTGAGTTCCATACTTTTTTTGCAAGTATATTCCTTTGGGAATATTTCCTTTAGCAGCCATTGGTGATCATTGATTCATTAGGAGTTGCATATTGGTGATATTCTACCATTCCATCTTCATAAGTTAGCTGAAATATTCTTAAAAAAAAAAAAGAAAATTTGACACTATTTGGCTGCTCAGTAGTATGACTCACGCAGGAAAGGTAGATACATGCATGCTAAGTCACTTCAGTCGTGTCTGACTCTTTGAGACCCAATGGATTGTATAGCCTGCCATGCTCCTCTGTCCATGGGATTCTGCAGGCAAGAACACCATCATGGGTTGCCGTGCCCTCCTCCACGGATCTTCCTGACCCAGGGATCAAACCTGTATCTCTTATGTCTCCTGCATAGGCAGGCAGTTTCTTTACCACTGAAGCCACATGGGAAGCTCAGGAAAGGAAGGATAAACATTTAATTCTTTTCCATTAATACCAGCTTTTAAGCCATGATAACCCAAGTGATTCCCCAACTGCTCAAGTGCTTTCACATCTCTTGGCCCCATAAACTCTAGAACTCACAGATGAGATCATGAAATTAAAACCAGTAATACTGAGGCTCTGTTGAGAATGGAAACCACCATCCCGCCAGGGTTCCCTGAGTGTGGGACACCTGCATATCCATCATTTGTACATCCTCAGGAACCTTAAGAGGTAATAGTGAAGCTGATTGTGGAGGTGAGGAAATGCAGGTCAGGGTCTCTCTGACCCTGAAGTCTGTGTTGTGGTTTGTTTTATAGTATCACACGCACTGCAGGAGATTAGAAGTGCACAAATATAATTTTAATTTTCAAGCATGGGGAAAAGATACATCCTACTACTAGGGTGACCTTGAAGCAGATCCCAGGTGTGAGTGGTTTGTGATCATCTCCCAAATCCATGTGTGTTTTCCAGGGCTTGACTGGGGAACTCAGGACACACTGTTCCCGACAATTCCTTTTTTTTTTTAACAGCATCACTAAATCCAACGTGTTTTCTTCCCACTGACACACTTACTGACTCTTCCAGTGTGCTAAACATCGCACCTGGCCCTGAGGAGTATGAAGATGAAGAAAACAGGCCCCTGTCTTTGACGACACAAATCTGCATGAGGAAACAGGCACGTAAACAGCAGTGGGAGGAAAGCGGGGTGCTGAAATGGGGA